CCCAAGCTCCTGCCCCTCCAAGTGGGCAAGGGCGGTCACCTACACGCAAGGAGCTTGTTGAGTGACCAGTTCTCGGCCATTGTTTTTCATCAATGCTTTTGCAGGACAAATTGCGTGAGGCTGCTCGGTCTCAACTCAACCGCATGACGGCGGCCAAGAAGAAGCGCAAATCGATGGAGGCAGCGGAGTGGATCAAACAGGAGTGGGGTAAAAACAAGGGCATGATGATCGAGATGTTGCTTGAGAACAACTTTGACAAAGAAACTCAACATCACAAGGTCACAAACAAGGTTGTCTCATCGGAGCTGCAGATGTGAGAAGTGCGCATGGAAATGGTGATTTGAATTTTATACTCTAGCTGAGGAAAAAATTGTCGCAAAATTGGAGACGGTTATCAAATTGAAGCAGGTGTACCAGGTAGTGCTGGACCAGGGCTGGTATTCGGAGAGGGAGATGAAAGAAGAACTCCATTGGGACAAGAGCCTTTACTCAACTTTTTTGCACAATCCTGTGGGTTCGTCCTTCGTACTTTGGAGCTGGGTTCTTGTTTGTTTATGGTTGGCCGAGGGCAAGGATTGAGGGAGCTAAGCTTGAATGCTCCAAAGATCCTGAGAATTTGATCCGGTGCCTCAACTTTTATAATCTGACCCCTGTGTGCTGTGGTTTGGTCTTGATTGAGTCCAGCCATTTAAGGACCAACCAGTACGATAAACAACTGGAGTATTACGTCACGGTGCGCGAGACCGCCCAGAAGAAGGAGAAACACACCAGCGAAGAAATTCGGTCCAAGGTTGAGCAGGTGAGGCATGCAATAGGAACACACACAAGCGTGCAAGTCCTGTGGTAGCTTTGTGTTCCCACCCTAAACTCAATCAGGTGGATGAGTCCCAGGGACCGAAGATCAAGGAGAAGGCTTTCCAGAAAGTGCTGGATATGCAATTGAGGCCTGACATCGTGGACAGGGCTCCTCAGCACTACCATGCCAATCAGGCACGGACATGGACTGCCTTCCATACGCAACATGTTGAGAGTAGATTTGCTCCAGATTGTGCAAAAGTATTCTTTCTCTCTGATCCACGTGTTGCCCCCTGCAGCATCAAGAGCAGCTTCGCAAATTCATGGAGTCCGTTTTGTCCAAAACGAACAAGCTCCGGTCTCTTCGCAATGAGCTCTCCAAATCCTTTGACGACGCAGCGGCTACAGCGTCCGGTTCTGAATGCAAGTTTGGAACCATTGGTGACTTTCCAGGTTTGCGAGTTCTTGGTGATCAAGTTTCCGTTGTTTTTGTCAGCTAAGTTCCGTGGAAAGCTTGGGCAAGCACATCCAGGCCTTGGAAACCAAGCATGAACAATTCACTGAGCTCATCATGGGTGACGGGGAGCTCCATGGATTTGAGCGGAAACCGTTTCTTGTTTGCAATCCTTTCCATGTTGGTGCATGCCACAGGCGTTGCCTAGATGCGGAAACTTGTTAAAGTTTTGGGACAAATGCGAGAAAGCCATGAGAGAAGCGACCGTAACGCTACGGCCTCAGCCAGCATATGCGTGTGATTTTGCTTAAGATTGGTTGTCTCTTGTAAGAATCGAGGGATGTAGCATCGCTCCTTTACTGAGGTGCTCCAAAGCCATCTCAGCGCAGGAGAAAGTCAAGTTTGGGGCCTTCCATTGTTGTTTGGTCTTTTTATGTATGCACAGGATGTTGTGAACCGTAGATTGGCAATATATAGTTTAGAGCTCCCCAGGTCTGAAAAGAAGTTTTACACGAAGAAGTCTGGGAATCGAGAGTCTGAGAACAAGAAAAGGCGTCGTGAATCTGAGCCAGAGAAACTAGAGAAGGGTTCAGCCAAAGCTGCGGCCAAAAGGGCTGCAAAGGCAAAGAAGTAATTTTGATTTTGATATGATTTGCGTGATTTGTCCATGAACATGCTTGAGCCAAGTGTGTTGAAGGACATGCATTGTTAGGGACCAATGTTTGAGACTATTTGGTTGGAGGGAGTGACCCTTGCCAATATCGGCGGTCCAGGTTAAGCCAACCGTTTAGTGTCAGCAGAGCCTGGGAAGCTACCCAAGAACCCGGGGCAAAAGAACACATTTTCAGCGAGCGATACTTGTGCGGTCTGCTACGCCGCCATCGTGCACAACCTAAGACTATATAGTTTTTTGTTTTTCAGATTCTGCCAGGTCCTGGGCAAACGTTGCGATCTTTGTCCAAACAGACTGGCGATGGAGTTTCTTGGTTGTACTTTCTTGGCCTGATAATGCTTCTCCCCCCAGGTATGCAGGCAAGTGTCATTGTGCCTCGCCTCAGCTTTCTTGCCTACTGACTGAGGCTCCTTGCACAGACGCGATCAGAACTGCACAAAGCATCGTAGCAGATGTGGCAGCTCTGGGTGACGGTCAGGCTATGGACTTGCTGTCCGAAAATGGGATAGGCGCTTTGGCTAGTTGCCGTCTCCATCACTCGGAGCATGATCTGCACAAGGTCATTCGAGACTTTGACTTGGAGTTGCCTATCCCCCTCTACAAAGTTCCGGGCCAAGATTTTGAAGCACTGCGCATTCGTGATTGGATTAGCTTGATCCTGCGGAAGGACTTGTGGCATACATTGTCCGGTCTGGACAAACCCGATCCTGAAAGATGTCGCAGAATCTGGCGCGATTTTTGGTGCAAGTACCGCCAGCAGAATGGAGGGCACCCAATTTTTGAGATGGAGGCCAAGGGTTTGATCAAGCTGGAGAACAGCGCAGCCTGTTTGTTTCATGGCGATGAAGGCCGTGGAAAAAAGAAGAAACCATACTTTGTGATGAGTATGTTCTCCATCATGGGCAAAGGCACCCGGGCATCGCAGCGATGTCAAGAAGAGCGCTACCTGTCGCAACGCCTGAACTATGGCGGTCACACATTCTTGAGTCGCATGTTAGTTGGTTGCCTCCCCAAGTCCATGTACAAGAAGGATGAGTCAGCCTTGCGAGGTTTACTTAGCTTTGCTGGAAGTGAGGCAAAGCACATGGCTGTTGAAGGGGCGACAAATCCACGAGGTGAACGGTTCTGGCTGGTCACCGTTGGATGTACTGGCGATTGGCCTTTTTTATACAAAGCAGGCTTTCTCAAAAGAAGCTTCTATTCGGGGCCAAAGCAGTCTACAGATGGGGATGGGGATGATTTCAGAGGTTCGACAAAGAACAAAGAGCCTTCAGGAATTTGTCATCTCTGCCTGGCAGACCAATCTGGTTTTCCATATGAAGAAATGGGGCGCGTGTCTCCGAATTGGCTTCGAACCATGAACCTTGTCTCCCCGTTTGCATCACCTCCAGAGTTGCTCCAGGTACCACACAATCCGAGCAGGTCTTCAGAATTTTTCTGCATAGATCCATGGCATTCCTGGCACCTTGGATTGGGCAAGAATTTCTTGGGCAGTGCACTTGTGCTGGCCAATGCTCATTTCGAAGGCTCAACGATTCCCCTACGTTTTGAGGCCATGAGTGAGCATTACTTGGCTTGGTGTAAACGACACCGTCAGCAACCATACTTGACCAAGATTGCAAAAGAGACATGTCATTGGGATGCTAGCTGGCCTTGTGGTGGATGGAACAAGGGCAGTGTGACCACTGTGGTGTGTGCCTGGTTGATTGCATTCTGTGAGGAGTTCATGGAGTCAGTTCAGCGGGATGAATTGATGCTTTTGACTTACCAGGCAGCTAAGCACATTCATTCGGCAATGGAGGCTTTGTACCGTGAAGACTTGTGGATCCGTGACTCTAAGGCCCGAGAGATAGGACAGGACGGAATTGAATTTTTATTCAAATACACTGTCTTGGCCAAAAAGGCATTTGATAGCGGCAAGCGCCTGTTTGCACTTATGCCCAAAGAGCATATGTTAGACCATATATTCCTCACCAGTTTGTACCTGCCTTCCCGCACACAGTCCCATGTATTAAATCCGATGGCTCATGGCTGTCAAATGTCCGAAGATTTTATCGGACGACCCTCATGGGTCGCGCGGCGGGTATCCAGCAGACTTCAGGTTAAGAGGGTGATTGAGAGATATCTCCGCTCCGTCTATTTTCATTGGAAAGAGGCCGGGTACATTGATTGAGGTGTTGAAGGGTGTTTGAGATGTCACAGTGTGTTGTTGAACGAAATCGCATATGCCCTTTTCATTATCATCATCGATGCTTCTATAATTGGTCCCCAGTACGGACTAGAACACCCAAAGGCCTCCCAAATCTTGGTTGCTTGGATCACAACATGCTGAAGGAGGACGAAAAGGCACGGTGGCTGGGTTGGTGTGGGAGTGGTACAAACCTCAAATATGTAAAACCAGGTTTTCCATGTCAAAACCTGGTTATTCTTGCATACCTTACTTTTTGTAGGATTTTGGATCTCCAGGTAGGTATAAAACACAAGCCTTCTAGCAGCCTTCTTCAGCCTCTCCAGTTCGTTTCTTGGATCGGTACCGGTGTTTGACCCGTTCAAATCTGGTTATGCCATTCTCCACGGGTTCGGCAGGGCACGGTGGTAGATCCACGGGCGAGACCAGGTTTCAGCTGCTGAGCTGTTGAGGAGTGAATCTAGTTGATATGAGGATAGGAATTCCTGATCTGAGACGACCAACCGGCTCACCAATGGCTTCAGTGCTGAACATGACACATCTAGGCCATCCAACAACCATTGAGTCCTGCCCTTCCCAACCCATGAACAAGGAGACCCTGGTCCCAGTCCCTTGGAGGATGCTGGTGATGATCAGCCTATAGAGATAGTGGAACCCTTGGATCCCTTGGGCAGGCTTGGACATCGACCACCCCACACCGAACCTTGACCCCATCATACCCCATGACCCCATCGACATGCGCTGAGAAACCGGGGACCAGAAAAGGGACACCCCGGGACATCGGTCGATGTGAAGATCAAGAACTTGGTCCACTCAACTCGACTCAACGTCTTCCAGCGATTGTTCATTCAAGAACCACACCCGGAGAACCTGGTTTATCGCCAGGTGGCCCAGATAGTTTTCCGCCGTCTCCTTCATCTTGGTCAAAACCATCGAGGAGACCTCCTCAGGCGCCATGACCTTCTCTTCGCCCTTCACCTTCACGCTAATCCTCGGCTGTTTTCACCCAAGCTCTGTCGTTGTGGTTCGGTGCGACGGGTGCGGGGTTCCTAGCAGGACAGACATGTCGACCAGCAGGTCGAGTCGACCAGCGCGGGTGTCTCAACATGGGGAGGCTTCGGTGGGCTGGCCACTACTTGGACGTTCATATTACGAGTGGAGGGCTGGCCACTACTTACTTTGAGACGGGTGCGTGTTCCATAAGAACCCTTGATTGAATACCAAACAACAAGTATATCATGCAAGGGATACAACAATCTAATCTAGGTGAGAGAGAGAGACATGTCGCATTGATAGCTGGCGATCAAGGGGTCACACTGGGCTAGAGTCTAGCAACACTGCCGAAGAACGGATTTCGATCAGCTGCGTTGACCGCTGAAGACGTCCTGGACCCGACTTCCAAAGATTATCCATTCTATAGGCACCAACTCGTCTGCCTTTCAGTACACTGGGACACGGTATATCATTGTGTTCGTTTCTCCAGTACGTCTGACCTTGAAATAGAGCATCTCTAGCTGTGGATCCACGGCACAAATCATCGGTGCCAAACATGGGTCGACCGGTCGTGGGGGGCGCAAGCCACGTCTCGCGTGGTCGGCCGGATGCGGCCCCGCCAAGACCCCGACCGTCCACCGGGTCAGCCGGCCGATCGGACGGACGCAGGAGCGAATCTCAATTACGGAAATGGCGGAATTTGGTTTGGCCAATTTGGGTCTTTTTTTTTGGCTATATAGGACTTAAGGAACTCTAGGGAACTGAAGACTCTTAAGATAGACCGGTAAACTATAGAGGAGTGAGAGGGTTGGGGTGTGACAGGACCTCTCTTTCCAATAGAGGTCGACCGACAAAATCAACAAGTCAATGGTCTTAGGTCACTGGATGTCACTGGACCTGGAGTAGTCTTTCTGATGGACAATCCCTCCAATCCATCTTGCGCAAAATGCATGTCTTTGGCCCAAACACATCGGCTTGCTTGCTTTGTCGACAATCGCATAGGGCAAAAGCTTGATGTCCTGCCAGCGGATTAGGTCATGTCGTGGATCTGCTCAAAGGATATCTGGAACCCCAAAATAAAGCATGTCTTTGAGGACGCCCTATAGGCCCAGAGGGATCCAGTCGTACCGAACCTCAGGTACGGTGAAGGTACGGATCCTGTTAGGTGCCACCTGGCAGGTCGTACGACTGGATCCGACGGTCGGATGCTTGGACCCGAGGCGCCGGGCGTCTCCGGTGGACCAATGGCAGAGGATGCTGACGACACAAAACACGGGACAAGCCGAAGAGGTCAGGTGATTCAAGGGCAATGACTTCAACGCTTTGGGGGCCAAAAAATGAACAGAAGCAGCATGATTCCAAGTGGGTTTATATGGTGTTGATGGCTGGAAAAAAAAGAGACACGTTGACATATGTTGACATCTAAATTGTTCACTTCGCCGTTTCCGTGGAATCTCATCAGCTTCATGTTCACGCACGCTTCCGCCATGCTTCCTGGTAGCACCGTTGTGTCTCGGATGTCTCGGAGATCGAACCGTGTCGGTGTTCGCTCGCTGTCGGGCGACGTCGGGCGACGGTGACGGACTTGGGCGTGCTCGGCGACGGAATGCCCTCGACCCGGTCGAAAGGGCGAAGAAACGACCGTTTGAGCCCAGAAAGGCTGCAGGTCTTTGTGAAACCCACACAGAGTGCTCGTCACGCCACGGTGCGTAGCGAACGCCTCGTGACACGTCCACACCCAAGCGGCAAACCAAACTTCAGCACCCCCAAGACCCAGGATCGCACAGGTCACCGTCGACGGTGACCTCACCTTGATCCACATTCTGAGAAGGTGATTCGAGATTTGGTTGTGAGAAGGTTTTGGAGGTTCTGTTCCACTCATTCCAAACAGGTGGATCCGTCCTTCTGCACCGTGGAGTCCTTGAAGCGTCGCCCAATCAAGCGCTTCACATCGAAGAGGGTCCTCGGCGACCCGACTGACCCTAGGGCTCATGTCCTACCTCCGTCTCGAAGATGGTTGGGTGGGTGTGCCCCTGAGGATAAGGTTGGAACCATAACCATAGGGCTATATAATGCTATATACCTGGAACATCTAGGTGTTCCTTTTTTTTGTGGTTGGTTGAAACTCAGTTTTATTTGGTCGTTTCTCTCAAGAGTTGTCGGGAATGGTTTGGTGTGTCCGCCCCTCCTTTGCTGCCTTTTGTTCCTGCTCAAGTGCACGGCTCTGGTCGGCGTTGATGCCGTAGATGCTGGGGCGCCAAGTCGTCAACATGGGGTGGTATTTGCCACAAACAAGGTTCTTAGATGTTCTTAGTGTTCTTAGTAGGCCATAGCAAGTGCAAAAGCTCATGAACAGAACGGTCACTTCTTTGGCGTCCCCTGTCCATGGATCTTTCTTTGCTTACGATACCGATCGTAAACCATCTTCGCCTTTACAAGATACAATTCTAAAGTTCTCTTGCTTGGGATCCTTGGACTGACTCTTCTAGAGAGGCGGGATATGCGCCCGATGGTGTCCTCGTTGCCTTCACAGGCAAAGCATCGAGGTGAAATTACATATGCAGAGGTAGCTGACTCCAGATCAACAAGCAAATCCCGTTTTGTATGGCACATTCCATGGAACTTGGACTTCATAGAGAAGCCACAAAAAGAGTACCCGTACAACGAATGGAATGCCAACTTGTTGTAGCAGTTCAGCGCGGTGTGAAGCTCTTGGTGAAGACGTGCCCCACACTCCTTGTGCAAGAAAATGCCGTGTGTGTACAAAATTCCGTGAAATTTCTCCACTGCGGCAGCACCCTCTTGAATGGCCGCCAAAACATGTTTGTGATCTTCAGCAAGTGGATTGAGAAGTAGGCCTGCCACAAAGACCCGAAGCCAGGCCACTACCAGAACTATGTCAGAGCCCTTTGCGTTCATCCAGGGGTAGTCTGTAGACTTGGTACGGTTGAAGAAAATTGGGGTGAAAAAACTATGTAGTGCTGGATACCTCTTCGATGTATCGCAGTAAAGCCTGAAGTGGTGATAGGCTCGCTCTAGCAGAACATCAATTTTGTTGCTGATTCCAGACCCACGCGTCTTCGTTTCATGAAAATACTTCAAGTGGCACAGGAGGAGGATGGCTGAAGCAGTGAAATCACGCAGAACACCAAGCTTGAAATTGTGGAATACATCGCGTCTGAGAATCATCTCAGGTTTGGGGTTCTGGTTGTCCACATTGAAAGGAATGCTTTCCCAAGGTGGAGGAAAGGACCAGGGTCTCTGCGAATAGATTGTTTCCTCCCAGGCTGGATGGTGAGAGATCGTCTCGAAAGGCAGCGTGGGAACGCCGGCTAAACACTCATGACACATGTGAGCGTCCAACTTCAATTGCCGATTGAAGCATCGATCCAGTGAAGCAATCTTCTCATACCATTTGAGGTCCCCCTTGAACCCCAACAGGGCCCCGAACCACCGCCCAGACTGTGTGGCAACACCCTTCTCAAACAACTCTTTGAAGTCTTCGGTGAGTCGAATGAAGATCAGGTTGAGCAAGTTCTTGTCTTTGCTCAAGCGGTTGGGAAGGACAACCAACACAAATCGAGTCAGGTACGAGTGCAACTTGTAGTTTGTTTGCATGTGTGTAGGGCAGTCATCGCTAGAGACACTGGTCGAACATTCCCTGAAGCCAGAGGCGAGCCGACACCGCTTTGCAGATTTCTCGCTCAAACAGCAATCTTCGCAGGCCCTGGATTGCCTTTTGGACGATGATTGGAAACTGTCCAGTCCCAAGACTCTGCCACCAGCTCCAACAGGGTAGGGTTCAAGGCCATCGCACGGACTGATGCAACACCAGTGGCATCTTTGGTAAGCCAGCGTGTGACATGCGGGTTCTCTTGGTCATGCATCCGCTGTCGAAGTGCCGGCTGCTGCTCCAAAAGAGTAGCAAGAGTGCCCTTGCCCAGGCGCGGATCTTCCCACACATTTGGTAGAGGCTGGGATTCGGGAGACAGCACTGGAGCGACCGACATGAACCCAACAGAAACTAGACAGGAAGTACAGAGCCCAAAAGTATTCTTTGATTGAAGTTTCTCAGACACAAACACTGGAGAGCATGCAGCATGGCACAGTACTGCATCAACTCTACTCTCTCTACTCGACCAGGTTTTTTGATTGAAGCATGCAAAGAAACGTCAGAAGGGGCACAAAATCTCATCACCGATGGCCAGGCCATGCGCTGACCGGCGCCGGATAGCTCCAAGCTTTGAAAAGGAGGTCAAAAGATGTCAAAAGAGTCTTGATGTGATGATCACTTGTGAGAGTGTGTACCATCAACACTTGAAGTTGTGCAACCAGTGAAGTAGACCTCCTGGGTTGGCCTGGTGACATGATGTCACTCTCTTGATCGATCAACGATATGATAAAAGATGAAAAGGCTGGCCGCGCAAACCTTTGTCCACACAAAGATATTGCTGGACGGCAGAGATAACCATGGTTCATTCAGCCTTGGAGAAATGGAAAAAAAACTGAAATCTCGAGAAACGCCGCCAAGCAAAAATATTAGTTCCTGATCTGAAAAAGCAGTTTTGCTTGAAACAACTGAAAAAAGTAAGCATTAGGAGGTTGCAGGTATAGAACATGGATGAAAACGGGACAATATACCTGGATCCTCCTTTGGGCGGAAAAAAGTGCCGGACCTCAATCCGGCAAAATTTTCCGCCGGATTCCGAAAAAAAACGCCGGAGACCTGAAAAAACATCCGGATCCAAGATTCTGAAAAACAGAGATGATAAAAGGTTGGATCATACACAAGCAAACTGCCTTTGCGCCACGAGTAGTTTTTCTGGAACACACTCATTCCACAACTCAGCACTGGAGCCTTCCCGTTCCCATAGCCCTCGCCCATCTTCCAAATGGCCTAAGAACAGAGCCATCACAAAATATAAGCAAACTTGTGCCCAAGCAAAGACTTCCAAGAAGAAACCAAGGAGTATGTGGCAAGGAGCCCCTATTTCTCTGCAACCGTGTCTCTAAAGTTCTTTTTTACAAAGTGGCTCTCCATGATTCTTATGGTTTTTTATGGTGTTTGCAAGCTTGCCTCAGGACGGCCCCGCCAATAAAGTAGCAGAACTCATGGATCCGGTCGAAACTCTTAGTTGAAAAACTTTTCAAAATTCAAAAAAAAAGACTGAGCCCCCCAAAAATACGCCGGAGTTACGGGAAATTACGCCGGAGTTACGGGAAATTACGCCGGAGTTACGACGTGAATTTTTTGAAAGCAACTCCCCGCAAACCATTGAGATTCTGAACAACACTGCACATGTTCCACAGCCCAAAACTTGTCCGGCAGGCTCTGCAAACCTGTGCAACTAGAACTAATTATATCCCAGCGCCGGGAGTACATTTTTGCCTGTTTTTTCAGCTTAGGTACACCCACTTGGGTCTTTCAACACGTGCATCGCACTGTACCAATTTCATCCAATTTCATTTAGAAGATCACCTAAACGGATCTGATTGATCCAGTGTGACCCATGCTGAAACCGGTGGAATGAGAAAACAGCGGAACAGGCAAACGAGCACACTTTGCAAGCAAATCATTACCTTCAAAGAAATGCAAGCCACAAAGAATGCAAAGCCTTGAGAATCCACATTTCAAGTGACTTGGAAAAGCTGCCGGACCAAATCCAGAAAAAACGCCGGATTTGGAAGTCCGGCCCCGGACCCTGTAAAAGTGCCGGACTGAAGGTATATGACCCGAACAAAACCACGTAACGACAGTGACATGCACAAAATCCGTGCAGGCTTCCGATTCAGTGGATTTAGTTTCTCTATACTATATATAATGGTCATCAGTCCACGAATCGTCCACGAATAGCCCCCCGGGTTCCAGGAAACACAGCCCGAGCCTTCCAATTTGCTTGAACAAATAAACCCTTGATCCTTCGATCCTTCCGCTTGCCTCATGGTCGACCTCCCAGCACAACACCCATTCCCTCACTCACATCCCGCGTCAGCGACATCTCACCGGACATCTCAACGGGCCACTGTGTGGGGTTGATGGTCGCCTGATTCTTTGCAGCTTCTCCAATGAGCCGCTCATCGTCGGTAAAGGCCACCTAGAGCTACGTGGGAATCAGGTCCCACGTCCCTGTTCATACTTGGAGTCGACCTGTTCGTAGCTGAAGGGCACACCAGTAATTCCATGTTGGGGTGCCGAACGTGGAGGAGAGGGGTGCCCCTGTCACATCCACTGACTGGATGGAACTAAACACCTGAACCCGACTTGGACGTGCTGGTAGGGACTTGTTTTTTGTTCGGGTGATGACCCATTTTCTAGGGTACTTTGAGAACCAAGGCAGGCATGACTGGGGCACCATGTTCGGAGCTATGAACGGAGGGTCCCACCGGTACCGAATAGCATGTGGTCAGTCGATAGATGTCTGGCTCCAGTTGGTACCCCAAAGGAGGTGACACGAGTCTACCAACAAAACAGTAGTTATGTACCAAACTGGGTACAAAGAAGCGTACTTATGAGTCATATATGAGTCATATATGAGTGTATATATCCATTTGTGCTTTGGTTTTTGTAAACGGGAGGGTTCACTCCATGGGACTCTTACACTATGCCATACATGTTGGGCCATCTAAAACACCTCGTTAGGGGAAAGCCAGAGCACCTCACGAAAGCACTTTCTGAAACACCACGAACACCCCAAACACACAGACTTTCAGAAAACAAGAACACACACACGGGTCGCCAAGGGCGGGGTCGCCAAGGGCGGGGTCGCCACCAAGGTACGTAGGAGGGTGTGATGCGGTTGCCCTGATCGTTCGGAATGATTTCCACCCGGCCATTCTTGTAGATGCCCACGCAGCCTGGGGCGGCTTCTGTCTCGGTTTCCCGGACGGACCGACCGATGGTTTTCAAGGTCACATGACCGAGGCGCCTGACTCCGACACAGTGTGTGTGCGTGTCCTTTCTTTCTTTTTTTTATTTGGGGTGTGGGTCGGTCTCCAGTCGACCATTGTCAGAGTGAAAGATGGGGGGAATCTGGTCTTGGATGTCTTGGATAGGAGTCAGAATACATGAACAAATAGACTTAAATAAACCATTGTCATTGTCTTACCATGTCTTCTTGTTGTGCGTGAGTGAGGGTGGATTTGTCTGCTTTTGCTATCAGGGCCATCAGGGCCATGTCGATGCCTACCTTGCGGCGTGGCATTGGACGTGTATTCCGGTGATGGATTTGGCGGGTTGATGTCGATGGCCACGCTCTCCCAACGAGTGATTCGATTCGGTTTACGGTCACGTTCAAAAGCCCAAGAATACCGGCAGAAAGCCCCTAGGGACTGAAGCAATCCATGTCATCCATGGAACCATGGAACCGTGCGCTGCGGTTGTGTCCAACCAGGCGACCTATCCCATTTCGGGTTGTGGTACCTCCTGTTTGGAAGGTCAAACGGAGGTGAGGTGAGTACGTTGCTTCCAGAGACAGATGGTTGCCTGGAGCCAAAGGACGTGCAATTCGCTTGATCCTGGACCCTTAGTGGAGACCTTTTGCACGCAAAAGGTGCTCAGGCCAAAAGCGGACAAAAGTGGATCCATCTGCGATCGACTATATAACAAGCCTCTGGGCCTCTGGGAAGATGAAGCAGGAACATCGAGAAACAATACATGAAGCTGTGGGAGCAACTTAAGAACTCCCAAGGAATCCAAGAACATTTTATACTTTGCCTACATGCCAGGAACCTTCAGTTCGTGACCGTCCTTGAGATCCCAGAACTTTGGTCACTTAATGTCACTATACATTGGTCCCCAAAGAGGTGACATCTGCAGAGACTCTAAAAGAGGTCACAAACAGCTCAGGACCTGGCGGGTGATTGATTATGATCTGTATACTATATATTACAGTATAATGTTATCCTTCTTCTTCTTCTGATCAGAGTAGTTTTAGATGTTCTTCTGATATGACTTAGCTCTTGGTGTTCCTTCTTTCAGAAAACCCTCCCTCCGAACCAAACTCAACTCCACTCCCACTCCCACGCCCCGGTCTAACGTCGAGTCCGCCGAGTCCACGACTCTGCGGCGTTCCGTCAACGACTCTGTCGGGGAACTGTAGGTGGTGCCAAGGTCAATGCCGATGACTGGACCGTCGATCCTGGGAGGTTCGTCGCTTCGTCGCTTCGTTTTGGCTCCGCCGGTCTGACGGACGGTCCGAAGGTCACGAGTCATCGGTCCATACCATGTACACCATGGGGGTGCGAGATGGTCCAGTTGGTGGGACCACCCTGGAGGTACCTGGACCTGAAAGGGCAAGGGTCGAGATCCACAGGTAGTGTATGTAGAGTAGTGCAGCCATTCCAGCTAGGAGACTTGGAAGGTGGTGGTATGTAAAAATACGTACGAAACATGTAACAACAGGTTATTGGATCCATGGAAAGTACCTCTTCAGGGGTGTTTGAAAAAAATGCACCCGACCTGGGTGGTGCTGAACCTGGTACCATGCGTATTCAAATACCTATCATACGATGTCAAACATGTTAAACATTGACCCTGGCCCTAGATCTACAGATCACCTCCAATCAATCGGATACATCCTCCAGTCCCATGGATCCATTGGGCTCTGAGACGCCCCCGAGGACGCCGCTGAAAAAAAACAAAAGAACAACCACTGGTCCACTTCCGACCCCCACGGGTTCGACGGAAGAAGTGGCGGGCTTCGACATATCCCCTTTGAACATGGGAGTCGACCAGGTCGTGCCCTGTGAACAGCAAGCCGTCGCCGTCGCCCCGTGTGGCCGTGGGTGCCCGAAGGTCTGGACCCACCGGACACGACCGGACACACACCAGCGGTTTGTGGTCAAAAACACGGTCGTTCCCACTGATATGGGAGTCTTTGTGCGACACGGTGAATCGAACCCAACCGGTTCCGTGATGTCGACATGACCCGAAAGAAAGGAACGAACGGGCCTATTTCAAGACACAACACATGGTGTATCACATCCAACTAAATCATACTAAATCCAATGA